GGAAGGTAGTCTAGCGGAGCAGACTACTGCCGCACGGTGTCCCTTTCTGTGCCAAGAAGAAAGGCACCCCGTGAAACCTTGTCTCGTTGGAGAAGTCGAAGCTCGTCGGACAATCTGCTCTCCTCCAACAACTGCTACTTGAAACCCAATTATGAGAGCTCTTTGAAGATCCTTTAAAAAAATCCAAAACGGGCAGAAAAACCCATCAAAATCGAATCTTAATATAGTAACATTTCTCCTCATTAGTAGACATTACTAAAGCTTCATGCGGTTTCCATTGGGTGGTTATTAGGGATGTTAAATGAGGCAAGCTGAGCTCAAGTTGACTCGCTCAACAAAAGTGTGGCTCGACTTGCCCCACGTGCTCGACTCTCGGTGGGCTAGCTGAGCCAACTCACGGCTTGCCCTATATCTATTAATTTGGAAAGCCGACTCACTTGCACAGTCAAATTACTGCTCAGTCCGTGCCCATGGCTCGTCCCGGTTAACACACTTGGTGGTGACCACAAAACATTGTACTCATATGTGAACTTGTTGGAATAGAAATTTAGATGCAAAATATTGCTTGGTAAATGTTTGGTATAACTTAAATTTTAATTTTATTTAGTTTAATATAATATTTATTCATGTTTTTTTTAGGATTCATAACTATTATTTACGAAAATATATTTTGAAGTGTTAATAACGATCGAAATTATAAATATATAAAAATGAGTCGGATTGTTCGAAATGTGAGAATAAAAAATGATTTTAGTATTTATAAACATTACCCAAACATAAGCTTATCATCTACTTATCTATAGATATCACAATCGGATCCATTTTGTAGGATTCATAAATTATATCATTTTTACACTTCCTCTTTCTAAGTAACTTTCATTTTCTCTAGAAGTTTGGCCAAACTCCAATCGCGTTAAAAATCCAAAACGGGAAAACACAAATTAAACTTTAGAACACGAACAGACATTTTATTCTTACAATTGGCAAATAGATAATCCAAAAACATTTCCGGTTTTAACTCTTAAACCTTGCACGGTGACAATGGCGAACCACACAAGCAATCATTACCAATGAATGAACTTGCTGGAAATTTCGTGGCAGGTAACTTCCCACACAAATGATTATAACTAACATTCAAATTTTCAATCCCTGCGATTGATTTTGGCACATTTCCGATCACCAAATTCTGCGATAAATCCAAGTATTTCAATGTCTCGGGAAATTTCACGCTGCTCAAATTAAATTTCAACTTGTTACCAGAAGCATAGAATCCCACTAAATATTCTGTTCTGTTCAACAATTTCAATGGACTGCCTGTAATTTCATTCTCAGAGAGATCAATGTAATCGTAGAAATAAGTCTCCGATGGATTCCAATCGTCTAATTTAATCTTGATTCCACAGTTGGCTAGCTTCAAAGAGTAGATAATCGGGGAGGAAGTGACCCAATCTGGAATTTTTCCCAAATGGAATCGATTATTCGACAAGTCCAGCGATTCAATGCCTTTTACGTACATTTTTGGAAATGGATCGACTAGTAAATTATGAGAAAGATCCAGATTGAAAATCTTAGTAAGATTGGCGAAACTTTTTGGTACGGTTCCCGAAAGTTTGTTCCAGGATAAATCCAATGTGTCGAGGGCATGGAATTTGCCGAGAAAATCAGGGATTGGCCCTGTCAGGAGATTATGCCCTAGTTCCAGATAACCCAGTTTCGTTGCTAATGCTGAAATACTCCCCGGAATTTTTCCTGTGAACTTATTTCGAGAAAGTTCTAAAATTCTGAGATTGGAAAAGCCCGAAAAGAAATCCGGTATCTCGCCGGAGAGTTGGTTGCTGTTCAAACTCAGTAGGGTTAGGTTTTCCAGCCGCTGAATTCCAGCGGGGATAGTGCCGGTGAGGCGGTTGGCACCGAGTTTGAG